TCAAAAGCAAAAGAAAAAAACCAAAAATACGGAAATAAGGAAATGAGCTCTGTGTCCTCAGGAGTTTACAAGATAAACACACATAACTAATCACAAGTATAATAAACAAAATCATAAAGAGGTATAAAGCATTATGGATGTATTTGTCAATTATACAACAAACAAAAATAAAGTTGGGGAAAAAATTAAAAATAAAGTTTGGAAAACAAAAAAACGGAATTTCCTGGGAGACTTGGAGACTACTTCTTAGAAACACTTAAGAATCTTCTCTTTGAAAGCTGCTGTCAGCTTCCTCCCATCAAATCACCAACCAGGAATTAATACTATCCATGTGTCTTATATCAATAACTAGGAATTAAAACTCTGTATTTTTCAATTAGGCAAAACATCTAAATGTGATATCTCTAATGTTCACAGAGATGCCATTGATAACTCAGCAACATTTGACTATAAAATAAGGACTTAAAAAATCTTTTCAAATGGCTTTGAATAAATGAGACTTTTTAGAACCAGTTTTCAAAAGCAGCGGCACTTGTCTCAACTAAAGTGTCACTGCTTTTGAAAACTGGTTCTAAAAAGGGTGAAATCAGTGTCCAGTTAAATTACACTTATTAATTCTAATGAGTTAGTGAAAGAAGAAAATTATCTGAGACTCCTCGGTGGAGTGGCCAATATAAAAATACCTGGGTGGAGAGAGTTCCATTCACACATGGGAATTATCTAATTAATAAGGAGTTTATTGACATAGATCCAAGAAGCAAACCAAGCTGTATTACAGAAACTGAAGGCACTTCACATTTAGTGGACTTTGATTCATACTTTCAAAAGAAATCTGCATCAAGCCAATATAAATGAATAGTTCAAGTCATCAAAAATTGATAATGTATACAATTGCTGTGTTGGTTAATCTAGCTAATGGGCAGATGGTAAGGTTATCTCGGGAATCTCCCTCAGAATGATTCCATAAAAGACTCGTTGATGTCACACCCCTGTCCATTAATGATACACCACCTGGTATCTACTTTATAGTTTCATCATTTCATTTGGTTTAAAGAGGAAAGATATGTGCATATGTCCACTTTTAAACCACAGGCAAACTGGATTTTCTAGTGAGTTAGATGATCTGCAAGTTATATTAATATTATAATCATTTCTTACAATATGAACTATTGGATTCAGCATTTTTACACTAATACCAAAGTGTGCGCGGAATTCCTAACAGAAATAGTCAGACGCTGTAATTTTCACCGCTGTCACAATACAAAAGAAAATCCCTTTACAATCTTTTGCATTATGCCTACAAAATGCTCCATCATTAGAGACCTAAATGTCTCTCACATATTCCTGGAAGAAATCCAAATGGACAAAATTCAACTCGGGTACTTTGAGAATGACAATAACAAACAAAAACAAGACTGTATAGAAACGGGCAAAAGACACAAGGCAGTTGAATAATAGTAATTTTATGATTATCATTATCTTATACGTAATGGAAAGTAAGCAGATAGTCTTTCATGGCAACAGCTGATATTTGTTAAGCTCTTTCCAGTTTTCAAGAGGCTTTTACATATTCACCTGATCTACCCTCAGTCAACATAAAGATGAGCAAGGAACATTTTACAGATAAGAACCAGACACCACAAGAGATTAGGTGAACTGCCAAACAGCTAGATGACAAAAGCATGCCTTCTGACTCCTCGTTAACATTCTTTCTCCCACATAGTACTTAATGCGGCATTATTGAGTATTAACTAATAGCAGTGTATACATTTCACCTTAGCATTTTAAGCTCACTTGTGCTTCTCAGACTTCAGTTTCAACTACAGGGTAACTACTTTCCAGCCTGATCTTCAAAAAGGAAAACAATATATTCTGCCTATATAAGACACGACTCACAATAATTTGATCTTATCATTTTGTGTCTATCTAATCTTCTACCACTTGTTCTACTTGATGCCAAAAAGCCTAACAGTGAATTAGTCTATGAGAAATGGGAGAATATTTTTCAGTGCCTTTTCTTGAACCTGACAACAATTAAAGGCAAGTTTATAAGATACCTAACACAGTAAAACCTGATGGCAAAGAAAATTATCACTGGGTGGGGAAAAGCAGGTGCCAGGTACATCATCTCAAAAATTTTCACTTTCATTCATTTATTCAGCTAACATTTACTAACTCTGATATGGTTTGGCTCTGTGTCCCTACCCAGATCTCATCTAGAATTGTAATACCCACATGTTGAGGGAGGGACCTGGTAGGAGGTAATTGGATTATGTGTCCCCCAGTGTCCCCCAGGCTGTTCTTGTGATAGTGAGAGAGTTCTCAGATCTGATGGTTTAAAAGTAGCAGTTTCCCCTGCATGCCCTCTCTATGTCCTAACACCTTGTGAAAAAGGTGCCACCTTCCGCCAGGATTGTAAGTTTCCTGAGGCCTCCCCAGCCATGAAGAACTGTGAGTCAACTAAAGGTCTTCACTTCATAAATTATCCAGTCTCAGGTAGTTCATCACAGCAGTGTAAAAACAAAGTAATACAAACTCTAACCCATGTACAATCTCTAAGTATAGAAGTAAAACAATTAGTGGGTGAGTGGTTACTCTGTGTTACACACTATTACAGGTGCTTTATGAGTATTAGCTCATTTAACAAATTAGTGAGGTAAGTACTATTATATCACCACTTAACAACTGAAACAACTGAGAAGTAAAGTAAGATGTTCCACATTACACCGTAGGGAAATGCCAGGTCAGAAATTTGAATCCAAGGCATCTGACGTCAGAGCCTTGTGCTCTAAATCAGAGTTCTGCACACTACCACAAGGGAGCCACATCAGGCCCATTACTTGGTTTTGGTTTTTCAATTTTAAATGGTTGAAAAAAAAATTAAAGCAAAATTTTGTGATGCGTGAAAATCATATGAACTTCATACTTCAGTGTCCTGCAATTAGAACAGAGCCATACTCATTCATTTAAAATTGGCTTTCTCTGATTCCACATTACAAAGGCAGTTGGGTAGCTGCAGAGAAACCAAACGTGGCATGCAAAGCCTAAAATATTTACTATCTGGCCTTTTACATTAAAAATTGCTGTCATTCTCTAAACCATTCCACTTTATGCCTATTCAACATCTCTACTTGAATGTCTGAAGTGTCCTAAGCTTAACATATCCATAATCAATCTCCTGATTTCTTCTACCACCAACACCCCAATCCATATCTTAAGAATCTTCCCCTGTGGAAAAAGCCTTCTAGTTATGAAAGCCATAAACCTAAAGGTTCTTGGAGTCTTTGCTTTCTTCACTCATGTTCAAAGTCATCAGCAAATCTGGTCAACTCTACCTTTAAAATACCGAACCACATTTCATTACTTCCCCTGCCAGCACTCAGACCCACACCATTGCCATCCCTTTTCCGAATTACTCCCATAATTTCTTACTAATTCTGTTGCTTCAACTCTTGCCCAAGACAGCAGCCAAGGGGATGCTCCTGAACCCTCCAGCCTTCCCAAACATGCCAAGTTCATGCCTGCTTCACGGTTTTGGCAGTGGCTTGCTTCCCTATTACCATAGGCCTCTCTTCCCAAATGTCATCATCTCAACAAAGAGACCCTCCCTTTCTACCCAGCTCCATGACTAAACCCCAGTCCTGGGACTCGCTTTTCCCATTTCATTCCTCCTGAAATTACCATAATCTGCCATACACTAGGTATACTGGTTTTAAATTGAACTTAAGCTCCATGAAGACAGATGTTTACCTCATTTTCTTCACCAGCACACAGCTGCTGGCACAAGGCCAGGGCGAAACATATATTAGGTGCTTAGGTAGATATCTGCTGAATGAATAGGAGAATGCTCCCTACATTCAGGAAGTATTCAGCTCAGTAACACGTGGAGACAGCAAACACATTTAACATCTAAATAACTGTACTGAGTGAGGATTAATAGTTTATTTCTCTTTTTTTTCTATTTTCTTATCAAATAACATATTTTCAACAAATAAAATTTTGAGGGTTTCACTCAAAAAAAAAAAAAAAAAGAGAGAGCTCACTCTGCAACCTCATGGTCTACGTATGAAATTAATTTAGATAACCAATCTACTTTATTGCAGACGGCACCGATAAGTGCTCAAACTCCCATTCTTAAACTCATTGCCTTCTTTTGCCCATCTTTGTCAAATTCTAGACCCATGCTGACTGACACCCTATCTCTTTTCCTTCTCCTAACTCATCTTTAACTTCTACTATTCAGCTCCTGTCTGCCTCTCCTGAAGGAGACATTCATTTCTTAACTACAAATGCAGTGAAACTGAGTTTTCAGAAAGAAAACATATCCTGCCAAGTGAAGCGGCTTACGCCTGTAATCCCACCACTTTGGGAGGCTGAGGTGGGCAGATCACTTGAGGCTAGGAGTTTGAGACCAGCCTGGCCAACATGGTGAAACTCTATCTTTAAGAAAAATACAAAAATTAGCCAGGCATGGTGGTACATACCTGTAATCCCAGCTACTCAGGAGGCTAAGGCATGAGAATCGCTTGAACCTGGTAGGTGGAAGTTGCAGTGAGCCAAGATCGCACCACTGCACTCCAGGCTGGGTGACAGAATGAGATTCTTTCTCAAAAAGGAAAAAAAAAAAGATAAGAAGACATATCATTTAAAACACTACCATTTTTAAGAGCGCACTAAAGTTTAGTCAGTGTTTGGGGGAGTTAAGAGTAGCAGTGTACTGTCTGACCCGGAGGCAATGTAGATTCTAAACACATAAGGAGAAGTATCTGGTGGAGTTCCCAAGTGACAAAATACATCAATGAACAAACAATGCAACCATTCCAAAGTGCCCAAAGAAAAAATGACATTCCTAGATTGGACAAACTATCTGCTCTGCCTCTTCACTTCCTGTCCACTTGACAACTAGGAAAAGCAGCTAAAGTTCTAATTTATTAATTTTTAAATAAATATACAAGAAAGCGGCAGATGTGGATAGAATCAATGACGAAAAATAGTCATACCCTCTCCTCCAGTCTAGCCAGCTGTTCTTTGTAGAATGCATCCTGCTTCTTGAGCACTCGGTCTTTCTCTTCCAGCTGCCTAGCCTAAAAAAAGAAATGAGGAATATACTATATCAAGAAAAAGCAGCAACAGCAAAGCAAAAGTCAAGAATAAATTGCATTAGAAATAAGAATACAAATCTGAAGATTTTTGTAATCTATTAAGTCTCTACCATAGAAAAACATTAAGATGATGATTGCTGTATTTAAATGTAAAGAAAAAGTCTACACTGCATTGTTTTTCACTATAACAGCTGTGTCCTACTTTGTCCAAATGCATTTGGAAACATCAGAATACAGCATATAACAGACTCTTATTTAACTTCCCTACAAAGAGTAATTTCAAGGATTAACCTTTTGTACAACAAAACTTTAATTTTATCCTGGGCATAAGATACATGGTTCTTAACCTTTTTGAATTAAAAAAAATAATGCCTAAATAACATTTTGTACACAAATCTTGTGTTTAAGAACCTTTAATTACCTAGTGAAACTTGCAAATCAATACATATATTGTTCTATTTTCCTTTTTGCAAAGAATTAACTGTTATGGAAGAGCGGAAACAAAAACTACTATAATTGTTTATTTCAATAATTCAAAACAATCATAATAAATAACAATAATTAAAAGTAATTTTAAAAGCTTTAGCTATTCCACTTTCAATTTACAAAACTTTTAAAAATAAAATTAAAACAAGTGAAAAAAAAAATTTTCTTTTTGAGACAGAGTCTTGCGCTGTTGCCCAGGCTGGCGTGCAGTGGCATGATCTCTGCTCATTGTAACCTCCACCTCCCAGATTCAAGTGATTCTTCTGCCTCAGCCTCCCAAGTAGCTGGGACTATAGGCACGTGCCATCACACTTGGGTAATTTTTGTATTTTTAGTAGAGACAGAGTTTCACCATCTTGACCAAGTTGGTCTCGAACTCCTGACCTCGTGATCCACGCGCCTCGGCCTCCCTAAGCGCTGGGATTACAGGCCTGAGCCACCACACCCAGCCAAAAGTGCATTTCTTAAACTAATGTTGGTATCCTGAATATTATGTTTAATTGGCTTTTGTCTTTGAGAAAAGGGACTTTCCTATATCACTCTAGTTAGATTTTGTTTTCAACATACTTTTTGCTCAATGAAGGCTGAATATATGTCTGACTACAACTCATAAGTATATATATGTATATATGTATATATATATATATGTATATGCCTACATGTATTATGCATATGCCTATGTATATATGTATGTATATATCTTTTAATATATATTAACAAAGTACATATATCACTTTTAATATATATAAAGTGTGTGTGTATACATACATGTATATACATGTGTGTATGTGTGTGTGTGTGTGTGTGTGTATATATATATATATATATATATATATATATCTTTTTTAAAATTGTATGTATCCAAGCATCCATTAACAAGTATACATTTAGGCAGTCCCATCCTTGTGTTATTTCACCAAAACTCTTTTGCATAAGTGATTAAGCATTGCTTGTCTAAGACATCAAGGTGCCTGTCTATTCAACTATCTGCTTAGTTTAGGTGAACTACAAACTACTTGCACATTTACAGGTTATTATTTTGCTACTTACTTTGTCTTCAATATCCTGCAGCATGTTAAAAATAAACAGTTATTTAACAACATGAGTACTGTTTTTTCCTAATTTCACACAAAAAAGCTGATGGATAATATTTAAAATGCAAGCCAAAGAAGGTAATGAGGAAGAAAATAAAAAGAAAATGCTTAACTTGGGACACATTTAAATGTCACTATGCTGTTACAGTTTGAATAGAACATTTCAATATAAAGTACATGCTGCTTGAAAGCATATGAATAAATTTTAAAAATACAATGTTAAGATTAGATTAAAATACAACCAGATACAAGTATATAATCTATAGCTCCTTGGTATAACACAGTAAAAATTTTATTAGACTGTTAGGAATATGAAACAAAAAGTAAATGAATTTCAAAGTTAATATACATGACTATATGCTCTAAAGAGAAAAGACCTCTCTAAATTCAACATAAAAACCCAAAATATAAATAAAGAAAATGGAAAAGAATGGGGCCATAAGAAACTCCATAAAACAAAAGCATTACAAAATCAAAAGAATAGGCAAGTAACAAAAAGAAGAAAAGAAATTCCAACATGTAACTGAGAGTTCATCTTACTAACATACAGAGAATTGAAAAAATAAGCCTCATCCCTCACGCCTCACCCCACCAAAAAAAAAACAAAAACAAAAACAAAAGAAATATACACAAATAATATAAACTAGAAATTTACACAGAAAAAATACAAATAATGAACACATGAAAAAAAATCCAACCCGACAGCAAATCAGATAACAACAAAGTAAGGTAACATGGTTTCATTCTTCATCCATCAAATTAACAAAAATGTAAAAAAAAATTCAATATTGGCAAGGATATAAGAAAACAGGCTCTCCTATACACTGCTGGTCAGAGTATAAATTGGTATACCCATTGTATAAATCAATCGGATAAAGTTAACAAGTCTTTAAAATGTACATATACCCTGAGATCTAAAAACACTACTTACAGTACTTTTCTTAAGTACAATATGCAAAGATGTTCATTATAGGATTGTTTAGACTTCATTACAAGGTTGTTTAGAACTGCAGAGAAATAAAAACAAACCAATCCAATGGCTAAATGAAATATGAACTCAAAGTATACCACGTAAAAAATTTAAAAAACTATATAAACCCAAGGGCGGTATGACCTCGTTTTTGCAGAAGAATATTCTACAAAATGTCAACAGAGGTTACAGCAGAATGGTAGACCTATGGGCGGTTTCTATTTTCTTGTTTTTGCTTCTTTATATGTTCAAAATTAAAAACAAACATACTTTATAGTCAAAGTACAAAAGGAAGAAATTTTTTAAGGTGAGGAAATAAATGTTTCTTGATGGTGATGGTGATTATACAATTATATGCATTTGTCAAAACTCATAGAACTGTATATCAGAAAAAATGAATTCACATAAATTTTTTAAATGAATATAAATTAAGCATATTAAAATTTATAATAACAACTATAAATGTGTGAATGTGTGTATAAATCATTACTATCATTAATCTTCCTATGTGACCAATTTCACTTCTAGGCATTCAATCCTAGCAAATATTAAAAAATGAGAGAATTTATATCTAAGAAAATGCAACCAGTATT